CTGGTGCTCGCCGAGGGCCGGGGGCGGCGGGGGCAGCAGCGTGGCCGGCGGGGGCGGCGGGGGACCCTGCTGCCAACAGCCATCTAACGCGCAGTCAACCAGGAGCTGTCCTGTCACGGGGCGGCGCGGGGCGGGGCGGGGCTGGGCAGCAGTGGCGCTCAGAGGGGGGCGGGGCAGGCCGGACTCAGGGGCCGGACACGGAGGGCGTCCCAACGCGAACGCGACTGAGGGCGCGTAGCGCAGCGTGGCGTCCCTTCAGGGTACAACAACCCTCGCCGAGCCCCCCGCCAGCCCCCACCCTCCGAGAGGCCGCGCCCAGCCGCCCCCGACCGCCTCCGCCCGCCCCCGGCCGCCCTGCTCGCGGGCCCCGCGTAGCTCGCAGCGCGCGCGTAGCCAACCTAATCCAGCGGAGGCCAGCGGCCTTCGGAAGGTGGTAGTGGCCCCTAAAGGTGCTCGATGTAGTTGAAGTCGTGGCGGAGTGCATCCAGGTCGAGCTGTTAGGCACCCCGTCGCCCGGCGCGGACGCGATGCCACAACAGCGTCGACGTGCGACGTCTCCGAATGTTGGCAGCGCCGGCCCCGAGGCGCCACCCCCAACGGCGTCGGCTTTTCACGAAGCTTCGCGTGGCGGCGACACGCTATCGAGCTGCACCGGAGGGTGGCGGTGCGGGGGGCGGCACGGGGTGCTCTGCGCAGGCCCGGTAGCAGCAGCAACAGCAGCAGCGGGGCCTCCATGGAGGCAGCGGCAGCGGCGGGCCCAGGTTGCCGAGGGGGGACGGAGGATGTGGTGGCCGCCCCTTACCCCCGCCCCTACCCCCGCCCGAGCTCCCTACAGCGCCCTTACTCGAGCAAACTGCGCACCAAACCGTGAATACACCAACACATAGAGAGAGAGAGAGGCGGCCTGCTGGGAGCCGAGCGGGCACGGCAGGTGTCGGGGTGCGGCGACGCACGTACACACACGCACACTCTCTCTCTCACACACACTCACACTCACACAACACAAGCACACTCACATCCCCTTCCCCGCAGCAACACGCACACTGCCGCCTCAGATTGCGCGAGAGATATCAAGGTCGTTGGGCTCCGCTTAATAAATCCCCCAAATCCCCCACGAGGCCCGCGCTCTGTGTGCTCGTCAGTGTGGCGTCGGTGAGTGAGGGGAGGGGGGGAGGAGGAGGGGGATGGGAAGGGCAGAGGGTGAGCAGCAGAGTTCGGGGGGTCCATTACGCGGAGAACCGCGTACCTACCCCCTCCCCCCCTTCCTCCCCCCTCTTATTCCCAACCCTCACGCTCGAGCTGGTAAACGACCTCTCTACCCCTCGAGCACGACGGAGGGAAAATCGAGATAAGGTAAGAAAAGGAGGGTGTCGAAATGAGGGTGATAATGAATGAATGACAGGCGGCTGATTGACCCCGCGCACTTTCGCCTACCGACTGTAAAGGCCAAAGCTCCACAGTGTCGCGGGTTAGCCTAGCCAAGGGGCTATGGCGCCTTACGGGCAGATCGGGTAGGCAAACCCGCGACACTGTGGTGTATTGCCTTTACATGCGGTATCGTACCGCACGCAGGTCGTGGCGGGGCTGGGTTTGCCCACCGTCGTTCCGAGCGGACTGCGTACTGCAGTGGGGCTTTTTAGCCCTTTTGTATAAAGTCCTTAAATAGAAATTATTTTAATTTCAATTTCCCGAACGAATAAAGGTTCCGGGCCCGCACGCCTGCGTGCCTTGCAGCACAGCCAGGAGCCAGGAGCCCTCCTAGGAGTGCCTTTTAATCGGCCGCCCCCTGGTGCAGAATGTATGAGGACGGAAGCCGAGGCGCCACGCGGCCCCGCCGGCGGCGGAGCCTCCGGCCCGGGCGGGGCGGGTCCGACGCCCTCGCCGTTGTCGGGCCGCCTGCTCGCGCGGGCCGGGCCGGGCGGGGCCGGCGCCCTCGGCCGCCGACCTGTTGAATGAAACAACAGCACGCCGTCCTGTGTGCCACTGCGTATCATGGCCGGGCAGGGGGCCGTCGTGTCGCACCCCCCGTGTGGGCCCGGCGGGGCAGGCGCTGGCAGGGCGACCGAGGCCGAGGACGACCCCGACAGGACGACCCCGACAGGACGGCCCTGGCCCCCGGGCCGGGCCGGCCCCGCCCCGACCGACGGGCGCCAATCACACTCAATGACGTCTGCGGGGGGCGGGCGGGGGCGGACGGGTGGGCTATCCTGATAGATTTGCTGAGTGCGATTGGGGGGCGGAAAGGCCCCCGCCGCCGCTGCCGCCGCCCCCGCCCTTTGGGGCTCGGCCGCTGCGCACGGCAAAGCAGATCGTGCCGTGCCTCCATCCCATCCCCATCCCGCCTGTACCCTGCGTCGCAGAAAGTCGGTACCGGCCCGTGCCTTGCCTTATCCCCCCCCCCCCCCCTCACCTCCTTCTTTCTCCCTCTCTCCAGCAGCCCTCCAGGCCTTTCGCCCGCTCCAGCCCAGTGACGTCACGACCACCCCCCACACCCCCTCCCCGAACCCCGCCCGCTCCGTCCGCGGCGCGTTGTCTCTCACTCCGAGTGAGTAAGGGAGCGGTCTAAAAGGGCGAAGGACAGAGACGGAAGGGCGGCATATCGATCAATAAGCCATCGCATTCCTAGCCGCCCCGCCCTGCCACGCCTCTCAACGAGGACAGCGCCAGCGCATCCCTTCTCTCAACCTGCCCTCATCCCTGTTGTAATAATCCCCGCGCACCCGCCCCGACAACTCAACAAGCAGCTCTCACCAAGCTCCACTCACCCCTCCCCGACGAGCGCGCCTCTCATCACCCTACCCACTTAGGAAGGAGGGGTCGCGGATTTCCCACACCGCCCGCCCGCGTTCCAAATCCTTCCGCTGACCCCCGCTGGGCAGCCCCGCCTTGTAGGTCAGGCGCCGCGCGGCGGGCGGGTCCTCCTGCAGCAGTACAGGTCAGGCGGCGCTGCGCCACACCGCGCCTTGAGCACGGCGAGACCCTCGAGTCCTTGAGCCCCCCGGAGGAGAGCTGACTAGCGCTCGCTAGAGCCCACTCTAGACAGCTCTAACGCCCGCTCCTCCGCTCCTTCTAACCTCGACCCCTCTAGTAGTCCCTTCTCGCTTCTTGTGCTTGACACCGCCACTCTCGGACCGGTGCACCGGCACCGGGGAACAAGCATCAAGTCCTGCCTGCTTCTCCCTTGTCCCGGTCCCGGCTGCTCTCTAATATAACAAAAGGGGCTCCGCTCCGCTGGAAGCCCTAACTGGGGTGTATCCGCGGAGGAGCGGGAGCTGCGCGCACAAATTAATGCCTGCGCCGAGAGAGAGAGAAGAGGCGTTTGCTTCAAAGACGAGGAAAAGTTTCTCCAAACGCCCACTCACGCTGCTGTAGCGTCGTCGCTCGCTGCCGCCGCTGCCGCGAGAGGTCAGAGAGTCGCGCCCTTCCCCAACGGTGCTGCTGGATTTGAATGTGAATGCGCCGAGCGTCGCCTTTTAAAAAGCATTAATTTAGACCGGCAGCCGAAACGGAAGGGCGCGGGAGAGGAAGAAGGGGGACCCGCGACAGGCAGCGCAATAAGGGTCTGCGAGGCGGGGCGCAAGGCGGAAAATAATGAAAGGCAGCAAAAACTCGTTTAGCGTCGCTGAAAATACTCTGCTGCGAGCAGAGAAAACAAAGATGGAAGAGGGAGGAATAACACGGTCGAGGTCGCGGAGAGTATTAGGCATGACACATCGCAGCGGGGCCCTGGTACGGGGAGGAGGACCTCGCGGGGAGGACGACGTGCGGCCGCACGCGATGTGGCTGTGCCAGCACCCGGCCGCCGGGGCACCGCGTGCAGCGGGAGCAGCCTGCACCGCCGCCCCGGAGGAGCTCTTAGGGACGGCCTGGCGGGGCCCCTTGTAGGTGCCCTTGTAGGTGCCCTTGCAGGTGCCCTTGTAGGTGCCCTTGTAGGTGCCCTTGTAGGTGCCCTTGCAGGTGCCCTTGCAGGTGCCCTTCTTGCAGCTAACCTTCTTGCCAGTGCCCTTCTTGCCAGTGTCCTTCTTGCAGGAACCCTTCTTGCAGGAGCCCGTTTTGCAGGAGCCCGTTTTGCAGGAGCCCTTCTTGCAGGTGCCCTTCTTGCAGGTGCCCTTCTTGCAGGTGCCCTTCTTGCAGGTGCCCTTCTTGCAGGTGCCCTTCTTGCAGGTGCCCTTGAAGGAGCGCCCGGAGGCCGTCGCGCACTACACGCAGGGGGCCCCTCATGAACTGCGGGGACGCGATATGCGCGCGATGCGCCCGACGCCTCAAGGTCAAGGTACTCCCCAAACATTGAGACCAAGTGGTGAGCGAAGAGGGGGCGCGGAGGGGGAGGGGAGTAGTGGAGGGTGTGATCGATTGGACTAAAGACAGCGGTAGCGGAGCGGACGGGACGGCCACATGGCGCGCAGCACAATGTCGTGTGTGCGAAGTTCGCACAACAAAACTTTCCGCGGTACAACACAACAACTCCGACCGAAGCGGATCGCCGAGGCGAGAGGCGAGGCTCTCTAGGGGGTGGCGTATGGCACGGCGGGGCGGGGAGGCGGCGGGAGGGAGGGGTTGTGCTTCCGTGCCTGAACGCCCTCATCCTGCTCACACCCGCTCTCCCATATAGAACACCGGAAGGACGCGCTCATGCAGGAGGAGAGCAGGAGAAGGAGAGCGGTATCGCGGGCGAGCGGCCGAAAATAGCAGGAACCCAGAAACGGCAAGCCGCGAGTGCAGCCCAGGGGACTGCTGGGGCCGGGCCGAGACTGGTACTTGAACCTGCCCCCATTAGGGCCCTCGGAAGGCGCTATCGCACCTGCCGGTGGGGCCGCAGCCTAGCGAGACGCACCTGCAGAGATGCCTCTCGTGCGGACACACGGACACACTACTTGGAACAGACGGACTTCAGACGTAATTTAATCTCATCGACGCGACGATAAGCAAACCGTAGACACCGTGGCGAAACCTGTAGAGTATATGTTAGTTGGTTGTCGGAAAAAGGGGTCTCATAACGGCAGTTGACTTCGATCGTAAGTGGTTGAGTCACTTTGGGAGGGTGGTGGGTGTGCGGGGGGCCGCCGGTGACATTAACGTCGCTATCACACGGCGACAGGTGCGAAATGACTTTCCGCTCCGCGACAGATCGCTGACACGGTGGCACCTTTCTTCCCGAGGTGAGCGCCGCGCCGTCGGGCCGTCGGGCGTTCGTGTCGGTTTGGTTGCCCACCTCTGCGGCGCGCCACGCCGCCGCCCCCGCCCGCGCCCGAGTGGGCTGGTGCTGTGTGTACTCCACGTCCACGACCATGAAAACGGCGGGCTGCCGGGTACCACTCGGAGCAACGGGTCGCAGCCGAGGCCGAGGGGCGCACGAGGGGGAGGCCCTACGGGGGCACACGCGACCGAGTGTCGGCGAGGGAAAGTCGTCGAAATAACCCCGTTTGCTTTCGGCGTGGCCGAGATAGTTCTTGACACCAGGGTGCGAGCCCCCCTCTCGGAGGGCCGCGTCCGGAAGGGGCCGCCCTTCCCCGCGGCACACCTGCGACGGGTGCGAGAGAGACGGCACCCCCTCGGAGGCGACCCTCGGCGAGTCCTTAATAGGGAACGCGGCCGCCCAAACAGTCAGTCACAGCCTCCCCGTCGTTAGCCGACATGTCGTCCACCGTCGTGCTGTTGGTGTCCTGTGCCGCGATGCTGGCCGCTGCTGCCGCCGCCGCCGGCTCGAGCCCCGTGGACGGCACGTCCGTCGCGGTCGTCCCCACAACCGGCTCCGCTACGTCCAGACAGGTGGTTGACGGCGTCCTGTCCATGCTGGGCATCACAACCCCAGAGGCCTCCGGGGAGGACGACGCTTCAGCAGAGGGCAACAGTGCAGACACCAAGGTGGCCACCACGAACCCAGGTAGATAGATACTTTGTGAGTGTCATGCGAGGCCCCCGTACCACCGCTCTGATCCTGTACCACCGCCTCCCGCTCGACAGGTCAGCGCGGCATCCACAAGAAAAAGCTGTGGTACTGGCACATCTGGCAGGTGTACTCCTGGTGGGCGTGGGCGTTCGCCGTGGTAGTCGTCAAGTTCAAGATTGCCCTGCTCGTCATCATGGGCCACCTCACCTACTTCGTCGTGGCGCTCATCCGCATGCTACTCCGGGAGGTGGGTCGTGTGTGTGCTCCTCGGTCGAAATGCGTCCTTCTCTTTTGTTGACGAATACAATAACGACCGATACTGACAGGTGCCCTCATGGATCCAGCTCAAAACCGCCCCCGCCCCGTACGGACCGCCGCCCCCCGTGTACGGGCCGCCGCCCACCACCTACGGCCCGCAGTACGGACAGCAGCAGTACGGGCAGCAGCAGTACGCGGCCGCGAGCAGCTACTCGCCCTACAAGAGGCGCGCCGGCACCGCCCCGGCGACAGCGGGGACGGAAGCGTCCTCCTCGGGCGCCAGCGACCTGGCGTACGCCGCCCACGCCAGGAGAAAGTAGTTGCAGGGAGACGTCGGCGACGTGCCATGGCGTGGAGACAGTTCAGGAGGGCGAGGGGGGGCGGCCCGGGTGCTTCTCGGGAACCAAGTGAGAGAACGAGCGGTGCCGTGAACGCGTGAAGGAACGGCCGCAGGGAACGAACGTTCTCCATTAGCTCCTATGGCGCGTTCACCAGTTCGTTCTCTTCTCCGCCGCATTCCCGTTCTCCAAGTGGATCCCGAGAAGCCCCCCTGTGGTGGCATTCCCCTCACCCCAGTCCCAGGGACACGCCCACACCATGGCGACGACGCATGACTTCTCACCGCTCTCCGCATTATACCACCGTAAGTATTCACGCAATACATGTATCCGGTGTGGTGTGTCTGGGCTACGACAAAATAGTGTTGGGGTCTTGCCTACCTTAAGGGTCATCATGGCATGGCGCCTCACGGATGGAGCGAGTAGGCATGGACATACTGCAGTGCGGTATCGCTGACAGAAGGTGTAAAGTGACAGCGACAGCTAGAGTCAGAGTGTAGGCCGTGCTAGCTTGAGAACTCAAGGTGCTAGGACTCTCGCAGCCAACTCGCGTTCGTAAAGCGCGCGGCTGATCAGGTGGTATTGGCAGAACTGCGAACCACCCGCCTTCCCTCCCCTTCCTCTCCCGCCCGCCAGTTTGTTTTTGTTTGGACGGGACGGGAAGGGGAGACGAAAAATGGCGGAAGAGGACCGGTCTGCTTCTCCCGAAAACGCAGCAAACAAGTCGAAAGTTTATGTTAATGACCCTCTACACTTTAAGTCATTCGTTAATCGTTACGTCGAGGTAAAGACGAACTTGGGCGCTTCATTGAAAGGATATGTGTACACGATCGACCCCGTTTCTGAAAGGTGAAAGACCAAAATGATCGCCGATAACCTTATTTGACTCGTGTTATGATTGGGAAGAGCCAGAAGTGCCTATTCGGTCTTATGAAGGTAACGTTTGTCTTTTTAACAATTTTGATGGTCCTTCTTTTCAGCGTCATATTATTGAGGCGCCAAGATGACAGGATCAGCATGGACATCATTGTTGGCCACTCCGTTTCAACTATTGCTCACCTACCTTCTGATGACGCATCCTGCGACAGCATACCAGATGAACTTCTTTTTGTAACAGAAGAACAAATTAGTGATGATGAGTCTGAGAGGCGTAGAGTTCAACTTAAAGCATGGCTGTGCGCTAACCACATCCCAGTTGTTGAGGATGGCAACATGCTTGTAATGGAAGATGTCATTGTGATAGACTCCCCGTATGGGCTTAAACAGTGCTTTGTTTCGAATGACGTAATTATGGAACGTGTCCACAACCTTTTGAAACAAATGCCTTGGATCACCTCAGGACTCCTAGAAAAATGTGATTCTTAATGAGTGAGTTTGTGGTTGCCGTGGTTTATTTTGAGGTAAATACTGTTTAACATTTTATGACTGCCAAATATATTTATTTTTTTGTATCCGATGACTTGATTTTTCAGTAATTTGCTGTCACACATGGGCCTCAAAAACTATCAATGTTGACTATTCTAGTCAATGAACTTAATTGAAATGGATGGTCTAGACTATCAATCCCACATAAACAAATGGTTCAGACCTCCATCAATGCCATAAAAACGAACTATCAAGGGGTGCTGTGATTACTGATGAAAGTGCATGGGAAGGCAGTAATTAGAAAACAATTTCAACAGACAAAAATTACAATGCTTTATTAGGTAGTTTGAGATATCAAACACACAGCCTTTCATTCACTCACTCACCCATTCAATATTCTTTCATTCACATGATAAAACTTTGAAAAACAAAATGTGCATAGGTGGGAGTAAAAAAATTATAGACTTTCAGAGCTTACGCCACCCATTTCATTTTGGACAGTCTTTGTTACAGTGAGACAGGCATACTAAATTCATTTGCTAGACTAACAGCAAATTATTTGGCACTATTAGAAGCACTAAAATTGACAGCTGTTACCATTTTAAATCATTACAAATGATTACCATAAAAAAAAAGAAAAAAAGATATATACTTACTGACATTTTTTTCTCCTTTAAATAAGGAGTTGGCAAAGACACAGCACAACATAGAACTTATTAAGTACAACTACATTTAACAGAAATTGTTTAATGTACCTTAAAGAGCATACTCAGCTCATCTGGCATTTTCTTTACTACAATAATATGTTTGAGTGCTGCATAAATAATATCAGTACAAGAATGGAAGGACGTGAGAAGTAGAGCACAGACTTCCTAAGGGCTTTTACACCACATGCATACAACAACAAAAATGCAATAGTGTGCAAGATTTCACGACACTGGGATAAAACATCCTACAAAGATGTGTGTTGAAAAGTGTAACAAAGGGGGCTGAATAGGTAGATGAAATTCACTTCACCTCCATCACAATAATTAACTAAAAATAACAACTTGATATAGCTTCTGAATGGTAACAAATTCTTTTGTAAACACAATCTGAAAATTAATAGTAACTTAGGAACGAAGGAAATAACATAACATGCTCTTTGATGAGAAAAAAATAATTTTAACAAATCTTTAACTTTATTAAAATATGAAAACATTAAAAAAAACAAACAAGGAATATTGAGAAACTGTTTCATTTACTCTCTTGTTTAGACTAGAGCCAAAAGCATGGAGTGGAAGACAACAGACAACTCTATCCATAAATATCACTGGCATATGTAATTAAAATCAAAATGGGCTTCTTTTCTTAGAGTGTGAAATCACAAAATGCCGTCCAGAGCAAGTTCATATGTTTTCAATCATAACAATTACGTACAGGTTGAGTGGCTACAACAGGAAGAAAAACACCAAGACTAGCATCTACACACAAATCTATGCTTACATATCAAGAAGTAAAAAAAATGATACCATTAAAAAAAGAATGATGCGGCAGGACAATATAGAAAAAAAAAACAGCATGCAGGTTGCAGATGAATTAACTTCTTCCTTGAGATGATTTTATAGTGAGACTTCTGCTCCGTCTGCCACTTCGTTTGCTGGGTAAAACTCGTCATCATCCCTGCACAAAATTAATTTCAAATTTATTGCACTTGCAGAATTGGTAAGTAAACCCTTGAAACAGTAATTATGCTATAGATATAAACATAGAAAATCCCATCAGTTCATATAAATAACATTTTTTTTTAAAGGCTATAACAATTAAACACTAGGAAATTTTCCTTTTGGTCAATAACATTAGTTATTTCAATGTTGGAATTTGTAAAAAAATATACTTGATAAAAGTGATCTGTAGTAAGCTAAAATTATCTCAAATACAGACCCCATTGAGGAACTACCTTAAAGCAAAATGGCACACTATAAGTCTTTTTTTTTCTTTTTCAATCAAATTTGGTCACATAGCTGGAGGCTTGTATGGCACTTGTTTTTATAGATGATAAAACTCTTGAAAAACTGAAGCAATAGCCACACTACAGTGCAAAGGTGATTAACTACACAAACTAAGATCATGCAGATGATCACACAGTCAGAAGAGCAGATATTTATCCATGTACTCCCATATACTTGCAATTTTGGGACTTCTTTGAGATGGTTGTGCACCACAGGCAATTCTGCCTACCGGTGATTTATCTTGAGTTTGGTTTAAAAAAGGTCTTGCAGTTGTTTTTAATCTTCTTTCCATGCAACAGGCAATAAACTGCCTACTTATGCACATATTATGAGCCCAGAGGTGATTTCTGGTCCAATTCCTCATTATCAATGAGAGTTAGTAGAATAAATCTTAAGTTGCATTTACAGTAGGCAATAAAGCCTACCAGTCTTTGGCACATTTGGGCACGTCAATAGTGTACTTGATGGGACAAGAACCTGTGCCTGAGATTCATAAAGTGTATGCCAAAATGCAAATCACAGCTAATATCATGCTTTAAGATCCAGCAGGATTCACCACTGATGGGCCAAGCCAATCTCTTTGGTTCATCAAATAAAAATCTCATTTTCTCCAGACATAAACAAATTCATGGCAAGTGGTCAGTATGCAGACAGGAGGAAAAAGCGGAAGCAGTTGAAAAAAAAAGAAAGGAAGGAAAAAAGGAAGAGATGAAACTTGAGTGCTACAGACCAAGCAGGTCTACTGTCACACTAATTTCTTGACACACAGCTACGTTCTTCAATCAAGAGTGACAGGCATTGTGCAGGGTCTTTCTTGTCGCTTGCCATACCTGTCAGCTGATGGGGAAGGTGAAGGAGAGCGTCTCACATCTGGAATAGACATTTCCATTTTGATACCGGAATTGTTACGACTTCTTCTGTCCGGATTATGCTCACGGGGCTTGCGACGACTCAAATGTCGTTCCACCCACTTCAACATGGTGAGAACAGAGTCTGTGCTTGGCAGACGACGCTCGGCGGCTGTGCGCACAATCTGTGATGATGTGACACGGAATGTGGCCGCCATACCTTTAAGAGCCTGGATAAAAAATAAATTGCCATATGTCAAAAAGCAATGATAATTTTAAAAAAAAATGTTTTAGGTATAACTCTATCTACCTCCATAGCATCTTCATCTGTGACATCGTCTCCAGCATAAATAATTCTTACTCTTTCTTCCCAATCCACTCCAAAGGCAGTGCGAAGAATGTAAAGAGAAGCACGACCTTTGTTCCACTGAACAGGAGGCTTGGCTTCAATGGCACAGTGAGCACGCCCAGCTCTGAAGCCTGCGTCTTCAATAAGTTGCTTTGCCTTTGCAACCATTGTTGGGCGCACCTCAATAGGAGTTTCTCTGTAATGGAAGGTGAGGAGAGCTCCTTTGTTTTCCACCCAGGCACCATCCCGACAAACCTGTTAAATATATAAAAAAATATTATTTTTTTTAAATTAAGATTAAATTTGAATATAAATGTGATGGTTGCATAAGATGTAGAATTTGTTTTATAATCACAAAGGAACTAAAAACCAACCTTTTCTTGAAGCTGCTTAAGCAAGTCGCTTACTTTTCCTTCAAATTCAATCGGCATGGGATGGACAAACCTACTGCCATCTGGATGTAAAATTTCCAATCCATGGTTTCCAGCGTATGTTATACCATTTATGCCAACCTGTAAAAATATTTATCATTTAATAAACTGAGAAGCACAGATGGCAAAGATGGTAAACAAAGCTTCTGAAGCTTTTGCAAAAAATTGAACATACCATTTCCTTTACATTATTTACATTGCGACCAGAAATTATAGCAATGTACACATCTGACATATTGGACAACCTTTCCAGTACATTGCGAGTCTCTGGAGGTAAAATTGCTAGATCTGGATGAGGGGCAATGGGTGCCAAAGTTCCATCATAATCCAGGAGAAGTGCCAATTTATGTTTGGAGCCAACATACCTGCCAACAAAGTAAATGATCTATTAGCTAATACATTACCAAAAGAGAAAACAATGTTTTGTTTCATGGTTTACAGACTACAATGAATGACTTCAACAATCCCATGATAACTTACTTGGCCAAGTATTCCTCAAAGTCATCCATAGTTACAGGCTGCATAGTAGTGGGTAGTGTTTCCTCACCATCTTCATAGATAAGTGAACCCATTGCCTTCAAGAAAGACCTCATCCAGCAATTAACATCATTAATCTTTTCCCGTCTACGAAGGTAATTCATTCGCAACTGCCTTTCATCTTCAGGCATAGTAAGTGCCCTGTGAATTACTTCAGCAGCAGCCCCAATTTCATAGGGATTGCAGATTAAAGCTTCATGCATCATTTCTCCTGCTCCAGCAAAAGGAGATACAATCAACACACCAGGAGGTTCGTTGATCTGACAGGCTACAAATTCCTTGGCCACCAAGTTCATTCCTAGATAAATTAATAAAAAATAAGTAAGATCCAGGAAGATTGCTTTCTAGACAGTGAAATTCAGATATTTACCATCTCTCAGAGGAGTCACAAGGGCCACAGCAGCATCTCTATAAAATGCAGCCAATTCATCTTGACTGACACAACCATAAATGTATCTGATAGGGGACCAGTTTGGTGTTGTGAAACGTCCATTAATACGCCCAACTAATTGATCCATTTCCTCCTTCAATTCCTGATATTCCTTCACATCTGTACGAGATGGAACAGATATCTGAAGAAGAGTCACCTGAAAAAAACAGCTCCAACGTAAATGTTGATGTGAATAGTTGCAATAATAAGAAATATATTAAAGGGAGTGAAGTTGTTTACCTTTTCAAGGTGTTCAGGATGCTTTTCCAGCAACATTTCAAAAGCCTTGAGACGGTGAACTAATCCTTTGGTGTAATCAAGACGATCGACACCAAGAACAATCTTAGTAGTACCGGAAATGACTCTTGGAGAGGACTGTGCAAGTTGCACAAATCGGTCAAATGGAATACCGATTGGTAGGGGACGAACCCTGACAGTCCGGCCACCATGCTCCACCTGTTACAGATAGATGATCTCAAATATGATTGTACACAATTTAAAATGGTTGAAAGTCTACCCTCAACTAGCTAAGTTTACCAGCATATTTTTGCGGTCAACGCGGCAACCTAAGCGTCTTTGGCAGCAATCAACAAAGTTAAGGCAGTAGTCCTCAATATGGAAGCCAACCATATCACAACCTACATAAAAAAAGTTCATTTAAATACTTCTAAAATAAAAATGTCTACATTATCTGCATGTTTAAATTTAAAGAGCTCACCCAACATTCCCTGCAGAACTTCGTCTGACCAAGGGAAGAGCCTAAAAATGTCCCATGGAGGGAAGGGAATGTGAAGGAAGAAACCTAGTTTGCATCGGAGGTTCATTTCTTCAGCTCCCTAAAAGAAAATATTAAGGTAAATACAAAGAAATTCAGTTAACGTCACAAAAAACAAAACCAAATTAAGAGTTTGTACTTGTCTAATCCAATTTGAAGCAAGCATCAGGTGGTAGTCATGAACCCACACAATTGGAGGTCCAGATTCGGGACTCTGCTCCTTTGAAACCTCAGCCAAGGCTGACAGTGTTTTCTGAGCAAACTCTTTGTTGACATTGTAGTAATTCTAAGAAAGTAAATTAATTAATAGAAGAGAAAATAAACACACAATATTATTTAATCTATTATAACTTCTTAACTAACCTTCCAATGTTCTGCACTGAATGAAGCTCTATCAGGCATTGAGTGGAACAGTGGCCAAAATGTGTTGTTGCAACAACCATTGTAGTAACTGTCAAAAACTTTAGGGTCAGCATGAACTGCTCTAACCTGAGAAAAAATTCTTATTAGTTTGATTGGTTCATTATTAATAAGAAGAAAGGTAAAGATAGGAAAAGGTGCTTACCTTGTCTGAGCGAAGACCAGCAGTTGGGGTGCGGTCAGCTGGGTCTGATTCGGGTATAGCTTCATCTGGATTTTCAAGATGAATTCCTGGCCAGCCTACCCAGTAACCACCACCTTTTACAACAACAGGGGCCACTGCAGTCACTAAACCGCCAGGGCTGGAACAATACAAAATGTTTGAAAAATAAGTAAATAAAAAAATAAAACACAAAAACTGTATTAAAAGAAAGAGAAGCAAGAAATGACACTGGATAAACACCAGCATATTTAGAAAACTAAACGGTTCCCTCCTCATTTTACACATCAAAGAGACAAGTACATGGATATGGATTCAATAAGGCCCATTCTAAATTTACTTTCCCATAAAGATAATTGTTATGTAGAAGGTCATTAGTTGGCAATAAGCAAAAACAAAATTTAGTGCCCATGACAAATATACTTGTTACACTGACTTCCATCTCTTTAAGTCAGACAAGTCCTTCCAAAATAGGGAAGAACACTTTAGAAACGAGACCTCATAAGGTGGTCAGGCTGGTTACGTGAAGATGCACAACTGGCTCTTCTCCACATATGCACCTCATCAAGATAAGTGTACAGATAATAGGAAGAGTATTGTTACACTATTTTAAAAACTGAGGGACACACTTAAGAGATTATCTTCCTGGTCATCCCAGAGCCACAACAAGTTAATAAAATAGAAGGCCACTTTGATAAGAGTCAAAGTTTGTAGGTCAAAATGCAGTCTGCGCTCACATTTACTGTATCTAGGTTCATTGTGACGCAGAGAGGGCCATCAGCAAACGTTCTAGTATTCTACGGCCTTGACACTTTATCTTAAGGGACTTGATCTTGTATTGCCAATATCAAATCCAATTGTAAATTGAGCATGCAGTCACTTCAACAAAAAACACCTCTAAAAGACAGGAATCTTTCTAAAATTCATACAAGGCAAGGAAAACACATTGTGAAAATATTTGTGAGATTTTAATGCTCTCCAAGGCATAAGAAAATTCTAAAGTGACTAGAATTCTTAGCTATCCCCAACTGAGTTAGTACAGCAGAAGTTAGTACAGCAGTTTTATTGGCATTTGGCCAAGCCTCATTCGAAGAGTGTGTTGCCCAGAGCATCCCTGAGATTGCACAGGGAACATATTGGCACCATTCATCAATTGCAAAACACTCCGCATCAATAATAATCAATTTATTTTGAAGAGAAGTCAATTTGTGACTCATGAAACAGAAAATACAATTTCTAAGGTTTAATGGTTTTAAAGAAAAAGAAATGTCCAAATAAACTAATACAAAGTAAAAATTGAAATGTGGTTGAGGATTGTTTATTATGGTTGCATGAAAAGAAATTTTAGGTCTAATACTGCAAAATACAGTAGATGCGTTTCTAATGAAATGACAGGGTGGAAATGAGGGGCCGTTCAAAACGAACATTACCTGAAGCCAAAAAAGGGTTGCCCTGACACAAAAAGATAGCCTCACAAAATCAGAAGGAAGAGGTATTCTGAATCTATTCATACAGGCAACAGGTAGTTTTTAACAAATGTTGTAATTTTGAGGGGGGGAGGGGGTTAAGCCTACACTGAAATTGACAAAAGAAAATGTAAAAGTCAGGCATGTCACTGTTCGCCGACCACTGTACAGCTGGTGCTAAAGGGTCTGAACTTGCGCGAGCGGCAGGGCTCTGCAAGCAGCGGCGATTTTAAGTTCAAGGTTACACTGTTGAGTAGGGCCTCTGCACAGCAACTACTGCGTCGCCCCGTCCCGCCCAGCTGATCGACGAAAACAAACTCACCTGGCTTTCCTCTCCAGCTTTTTTGTCTCTTCATTCCTCTTGAGCACGAAGGGCAGCCTGTTGGACACGACTATCAGGCTGCCGTTGGCCTCAGTTTTGTCAGAATCCATTTTCTTCTACCTGCTTCCGGAACACATACAGAATGAACGCGATGAAGCTCTGGCACCTTCTCCACCCAACCGGCGTACAGGCTTAGGCTAAAGGGGGAGGGCAGAGTCACGCCTGCAGGGGTGAGGGGTGGGTGCTCCGGTCCGCGCCGCGGCTTTGAATGAAAAGAGGAGCGAAGCGGGGAATCCGTATGAGAAAACGGATTCCAGATAAGTTGGGCAAAGTGCAGCCACTCCCGCCTCAAAGAAAAATAAAGTAGAACTGACCAAACGGACGGGGCGACGGCAGTAGATGTACAAGATGCCGAGACCATACGAAGGCTACTCCCCGAGAGGTCAGAGGATTATCACAAAAAGCTCTACTCAACACAATTCCACGTTTGACGCAATGCCGCACTGTGCCACACTTCCCGGCCCGAGAAAACAAGGAATAAGAATCTCCGAGTCGGAGTGAACGGGTGACAGGGACAGGGTGGTGGGGGAGGGAGAAGAGCCAACCACCGCGCTCCGCGGTTCACTCTTTTCCGCTCAGAAAACAGACTCCCCGGCGGATGACAGCGGGCGCCCGCGGTGCCTTACCGTGCCCCAGACCTCGCCGGCACGTACGCGCGCGACCTACACGAAAAGCACACTTGAAATGTTCCGCACTTTGCGCCGTGAAGCCGAACCGAGCGCGTCGAGGCGAATGCTAAAAGTGTCGGCCGTCTGCTAGAGCATGCACTTGTTTCGTGATCCGGCGCTGCCAACAGAACCGCCGCGCGCCAAGGTTGGGGAGGAGCGAGGCGCTTAAATTCAATTGATACCGCTCGGCTCGGCTCGGTCCGGTTCGAGGGGCTCGCGGACAGGGCGGGCAATCTCGCGGGGAATATTCCGCTCCGATCAGCGTGTTTGGGCGACCATGCCGGGTGGACGGTTAGGTTCAACCTAGAGAAAGATACTTTCCCCAAACAACAACAGAAAGAAAAGAAAAGAACAAAGAAACGAATAAAAAGGAAAACAACCCGTGGGTGGGACAAAATAGAACAAAAGTTAGATAGGCAAAAAAGGGAGTACTCCCCCTTCCCCTCTACTCTGTCAATTCAAATGTGTACATTGTACACTTTAAATAAAGTGTACATGGCATGTATGCTTTTAATTAATGTGGACATGTCCATGTGCGCATTTATAACTGTAAACATGCCCATGTACACATCTTTTAAAGTGTACATGGCATGTATAATAACAGCTGTATGTGTAGTATTTGTATAGCATACATCCCAGTGCGAAATGAATTTTAAGCGATATCGAATCGATATCAGAACGATATCGTTTTCAAGTTTCTGACTCCGAACTGATTCAAAAATGGGCCCGAAATCGACACTTTTCTGATGTCCGATATCGTTCTGATGTCAATTTGATATCCGCATTTCTCACTGGGATGGGTCACACTTCAAAAGATGTGTACATGGGCATGTGCACATTTATAAAAGTGTACATTGGCATGTTCACATTAATTAAAGCATACATGCTACGTACACTTTATTTAAAGTGTACAATGTACACATTTGAATTGACAGAGTACGCAGACAAAAAACACTTGGCAGCTACTACAAACAGACCAGAATCCGCGCCTGAACAAAGAGAAAGAAACCAGTGTCTGTTGGGGGTGGGTTGCGCTGGTGATTCATAAGTCACCGATCAATAGCATTTACAAAATGTTTTTTTTCAGTGTTCCAGTAGAGCCGCCACGAGAACCACCCTACACTTCGACCCGACACGGTGCCCCCGCGCACCTGCACACATGCTTTGCGTACCGACTATCAAGAGGCGCCGTCGCGACGGGCCACAGTAAAACAGCAATACTTGTCAAACAAATTAAATTGTTGCGGGGTGGCAAAACAAAAAAATAAAACGCGAAACGACGAGTAACCAGAAGTGCGCACTGTTGACAACGCGCGAGCACGAGCACTGCGAACAGTGGGACGGGCGGCGAGTATCTCAAGGTCGCTGGCCTAGAGGAGTAGGAGTAAGAGGGGCTCAGGGGCCCGGGCCCCTGAGCTGCCAGGCTTTCGGCCGGATGTTGGATTTGCAAATGTTGTGTATATGGTTCTCTGCGTAACACACCTGGTCGCAAGTTCCCAATAGCGGATCCGTCGGGATCCGCTTCCCAAAAGGTTCTAAAGAAGTGGTAAGCTGTGTGCCAAACACTCTGTCGTTTGGTTCTGGTCTACTGTACAGGCGCACGGTGGTGTGTTTTTGCCTACCCAGCAGGCCACATCACCCGCACGAGGGGGGTGGGGGGGCTTACCTCCGTGACAGCCTCGTCACGCGCGTCACGCCACTGGGAATGGCGACGGGCCACAAGTCACACCACCCACTCAGGGGGGGACCTTACCTCTGTGACTGCCTCGTC